CCATCTGAATTGGGATCAACACGCCCTACAGCAGTTTAGCTCAGGATGCATGAAAACAGGGCTGCATACAGAGTTTTAAGACACAGTGCAAACACCCCATGTTAAAAAAGGCCAGGAAATATGTTTAGTTTTGTGTTTTAAGTGGAGCAAGATCCCAACAAAAACTGTTAAGCACCCCCAGTTCTGCAGTTTTTTTTATTACCCAAACTCCAAAGAGGTGTAAACCAGTCGGAAGCTTGGAGAAGAGAGAAAAAATCAATGATGATAGAAGGGAAACCAAGACCACTCAGAGAGAGAGTGGAGGTCAGAATGGAAGTATACAGAAGAAAGTTTTGTGGGTGATGGATTGGTACCCAAGCAAGGATGTCTTGAGTGGGCAGCCCCAGCAAATTCAGGAGGCAGGAGGCAGAATTCCTGGAAGAAGTCAGGCTGTTGCTCTTTATCTGTCATCCAAAATATTGTACAGGCTGAACTACTATAGTTGAAACCCTTGCCTTCTTAGGCTGCTTTCTGTTCCGCCTGCTATCCCCAAATAGTAAACAAACAGACAAGAACAAAGGCAGAGCCATGGAAGACTACTCAAAGGACAAAAAAATTATGACTGTCCTTACCTGGAAGCAGGGGACAGGAATCCTGTCCTTGTACAGTTAGAACAAAGGTGGGAATCACATGGCCTTCCAGATGTTGCTGGAATACAACTCCCAGCATTCCTCATTGTTGGCTACACTGGCTAATTACTGGGAGTTGCAGTCCAAAACCATCTGTAGAGCCATATGATTCTTACACCAAGGTTAGACCTTGCCTAAATGCCAGCCTTAATTGTGGTAGAAGAACTTGATGTAAATCCACTGTAGGTTGATTTTTTAAGGTGTCACACCATTTTGGTGTTTTACAACACAGGCTGGTGAGTGTAATGAAGAAAAAGCCACTCCTTACCTCCTGTCCCACATGCAGCAAAATGGCTGGGAGAAACATACGGTGGTTCCTATATTTCCCACTCCTGAAAACCCCTCAACAAAAAAATGAACAGGAGGATTGCTTTGCCTGCTTATAAATGTTTTCCTAGGTAAAGGCTGAACTATTATTTAAAATGTTGCCTGTCTGGGTTGAAACATTACAAATATGGTACAATGGTTCATATACATTACCCATTACCAAAGGACTGACCATTCTACCTCCAGGAGAGTAATGCCATTTAGGATTTCCTAAATTCACCAGAGTGGTTTTGCACACTCATTTTATGTACTTTATGACACAAGGGTTCATAATTTAGGATCAGAACAACTGGAGAAATCAATCTTTAACTTAGCTCTCCAATGATGAATATTTTTACTATCAAACAAATCCATTTAGTTCTCACCCCATGGATCTTACACTCATTGTGGCAGTAACTATCAACTTTCAGTTATGAGTGAAGTCTAGAACACTGGTCTACAAGCAATCATCGTGTTTACTGCTCTTGCATAAATATGTATGTGGGAGAAAGGGACAGAAACCCATATTGTGAAATGAAATACAATTCAAGAGCTTTGCTTGCATTATTAACTAGGTAGTTACTGTCTTAATCCCCAAGCAAATGAAAAGCTGTGCATGATTTTCTAAAAGTATATTTGTGTGTTTGTATACACATGCACACTATGGCCCCATGTGTCTGTATATGTGTGTGTGTGAACTCTTTTTCTCGCCAGCGTATATATAAAGTATATACCATCTATATAGGAAGCTGGCGTCCTCATAGTCTGGCTAGTCTGGTGTATTTGTGTTACTTCATATGTTTTGGACTGCAGCTCCTATCAGACCCAGACAGCACAGACAATGATCAGGGTTGCTGGGAGTTGTAGTCAAAGATGTCTGGAGGGCACCAAATTAGGGAAGGCTGGTTTAGTCTGACTGGTAGCTGCTCTCCAGGGATTAAAGTAAGAGTTCCCTTCCTATCCTGTTACTCAACTGGAGAAAGCATGAGATCAAAATGGGGGCCTTCTTCACAGAAAGCAAGGACTATCAAGGAACCATTCCAAAAACATTCATCACAGCAATCTTCTACATTTACTTGAGTTTGCAGTGGCCTCCAATGCAAAGGACTGTCCAGGTGCAAATACTGTATGCTTAGCTTCAACAGCGATGCAGTGCTCTGCAACTAAGTGTAAAGCACCATTCTTACAAGTTGCATTGAGCAATTACACCTTTGTGAAGGATGCACCTGAAGTGCAAGTAAGCAAGGATTAATCCAGTGTCATTTATTGGCATCAGAAAAATGCCATGACCAAAGTCAATATATTTCACCATGTGTCAAGTCATGCTTTAGGTACTAGGCCCCAAAATAATGAACACACATCACTTTGCCCCTGTAACCACCTTATACATAAGTACACACACTGGGGTCCAGAGAATGTCTGCACTGCCTTCCCAATGTAGTGCTCCAGATGTTCTGGATTCCCATTATCCATATATGTGTCTTCTTCCCTTCCAAATGCAACAGGCTCTATACTAGTGGTTTCCAAACTTGGATTCTCTCACATTTCTGGACCTCCAACTGTCAAAAGCCTCAGCCAGCATGGCCCAGCTTTTCTGGGGCAATCCAGGGATCCAAGTTTGGAAACCACTGTTCTGCATGCTTTTAAGTCATGGTGCAAATGTAGAGAGGTAGCAGGAGCCAACTTGGCTGCATGATCACATATCATCATATTGTAAGTGATGCTGTGTAACTCTTGGTTGATTTTTAGTGGGGTGGGAGGTGGTTCAGAGACCTTGGGGCATTTTTGGGAGCAGAGAAAATGTCAGCCATGAAACCCACTTGGGTTACGATGGGCAAGTCACATTCAGCCCAGAGAATGGCAATGGCAAACCCAACTCTGAAGAAACCTGCCAAGAAAACCCTGTGATAGGTTCACCTTAGAGCTGTCCTAAGTGAGAAACAATTTGAAGGTACACAACAACAACAAAGTAAACTGCCACATTTGTGTGGTTTTAAGCTCATATCTGGCAAGTTCTGTAGTGAAAAACTGCCCAACACTCAGTGCAAAAATATTATGCATTAAAAATTTGGGGGGCTTTTGGGGTAGCCATCATGAAGCTTCAAGCCCATGGGCTCCACTTTGCCCACCCATGTTTCAAGCAGTGGATTAGGTCTGCAGATAAACCTGTTTCAGGCACTTTCTTGAATACATGAGGGTACAGGGAGATTTGTTTCCCCCCCTGAAAATGATTGTGGGGACAGGTCCATAGGTATGTATACACAAGCCTAGCTCACTAAGTCATGGCAACAATCAGGCCCTGACTTTGCCCCACTGAGTACCAAGGGCTGAAGCAGAGCTTCACTCCCATTTGCTTGAACACAAATAAAACACAATGGGTGAGTATTATTGTGAGACAACTGTAAGCCAGACCCCCTTATCAGAGTAATGTAAATTACCCAGAACCTCTACCAGCAGATCCTGATTTCCTTTCAGCTCATCATCACTTTAAGCAGACCCCCTTCTTTAAAGCAGAAATGATGTCTACAAACTGCACACAGGGATGGCTGCATGGCAATTGCTAGCCCGCTTCCTTGGGTAACAAGGCAGCTTCCCTTGACCTGCTGTTCTCCATATGTGCTGGCTGAGGGCTCATGGGAGTTGCCATCCACCTCATTTGGAGAGCACCAGGTCAGAGAAGGCTGTGTTAGTGAGCCCATTGTTAGGGTTGGCATCCTGCTGCAACAGAGAAGGCATGAATATGGTGTTGAGTGGAGCATCAAGGGATTTGTTAACAGGACAGCCAGTGTGGCGTAGTGGTTTGAGGGTTGGATTATGTCTCTAGAGACCAGGGTTCAATTTCCAGCTTGAGCAAGCCACACTCTCTCAGCCCCAGGAGAAAGCAATGGCAAACCTCCTCTGAACAAATCTTGTAAGAAAACCCCACAATAGGTTTGCCTTAGGATTATCATAAGTCGGAAATGACTTGAAGGCATACAACAAATTTCAGAAACAGGCTAGGGTAATGAAGTAGCTCTCCAGATGTCACTGTACTGCAACTCCCAGCATTCCTCACACAGGCTTTACTAGCTAAGACTGTTGGAAATTGCAGTTCAATAGTATCTGGAAGATTATGTGGTTGCCACCCCTAATGCCAGCAGTGCCAAGAATCAAGGATTTCCTGCAAGTAGCAGACATTCAAGAATTATGTCTTCCTTAAATGGAATTACACCCCCCAACACTCCATCAAATTGTTCTTAATCCCAGTCCATCCCTATTAATTTACAGCACAACCTTTCCCCTGGGTTTCAGCACAAACCTTGAAATATTTGAGATAATGTAAAGAGAAGACACAAATCAAAAGACCACCCTAAATAAAAGGGGAAAAAATTAAAAAGGGGAGTCTGCAAATATCTAGAAAAAAGAGACAGATAATGGCTGGCAAAAAGGGAAGAAGTCACACAGCCCATCATGATTTGGAGCATTTGTTTCCCTATTAATGCGTAACCAGTTTTAAAGAGATAAAGAGGAGGGGGATCGAAGATAGCTTTGCAACAGAGACAGGATATCCTTTGTTTGCAATCTCTATGAAAGTGCCCCTAGTGAATGCAGAAACTGTAAACTCTTTTAATGTTTAGCAGTTGGGAGAAACATTCCAGAGCATGCAAGAATGGGCCCTGCTGTCTCCATACAGTTATGGTACCATTCGGTTTGGCTTAAATCTGCGTGTCAGAAACAGTTTTATGAATAAATGGAGAGCCTCAGCAAACTGCAGTCTGCATGCTAATCAGGGTAACAAGGCATTTTGGAAATAAATAAACAGAAGGGATTTCTTTTGTTTGCTGAATTTGTTTACATTTAGTGTGTTTGGTTGTTGTAGTTTTTTTTAAAGTGGCTTATAACTATCAGTTAATACTGATGAGTTCTTTTTTTTTTTTTTAAGGATACATGCATACAGATCAAAGAAAGGAGGCCAGAAGTGGATTTGCCAGCAATATGTGCAGAAGGGCACACAGCACCAAGGACTGGATATAAAACAGATTAAACAGGCTAAGCTCCCTGTAGCAGTCAGGCACTGAACTAGACTCCCCTGCTGTGTGCTAAGCATTTCAAACACCTTGAATCAAACCTGAAATCCTACTTGCTGCTTTTAGACTCCTCGCTGAGCTGCAGAAGGGACTGAACAAAATGAAAGGGGCTCTGAATATTTTGGGTTGGCTTGGGGCTTGGCTATTATTAACTGAAACCCCTGGTGTTCATTGAAACATTATCCAACACCACAATGCAGATGCAAAAGGACACGGTCATCTCTCCTTTACCCTGTCAACGTTACTGCCAAAAGACAAACCCTCTTTCCTAGCAGCAGAGCCTGGGAAATGGATCAAGCTCTGGGACTGAATTAAGTGGACTGGAGACACTCAATACTCACCATATGAAAGAGGAGGCTAACATCACACTCCATCTTGCTCAGGATGATCTAGTAGTGAAAAAATGACGAATATTGCTGGACTGCAAACTCCAGTACCCTTCACCACTTGCTATGCTGGCTAAAGCTGATGATATTCACAGTCCAACAACTGGAAGGCCACCCTTTGCCAGTCCTGACTTAGGGGTAGTCCAACTGGTTTCCTCAAATGTTTTGGAATATGATTCTCATCAGGCCTTGTCAGAATGGCCGGTGGTTACAGATTAAAGTTTGTTCCCAAATATGTGGAGAACGCACTTTAGCTCAATAATGACCCACAACAACTCTCTGGTTGAAGAGCAATCAAACTGCCCTCCAGATGTTAAACTTCAGCTCCCATTATCCCCAATCAGTGCAACAACTGACCACTTTGCCAACCCTGGCAGTGATGCAGGTTTTCTGGAAAAGGTAGAACTAAAAACCAACCAACCAAACAAACAAAAACATAACAATAATTCCAGTGCTTCTCATGCTATCAAATGTGTGGGACTTTTTTTTGTCCAAATG